ACAAAAATATTCCACTCCAAATACCATATCAAATGTATATAACGGTATCAAGGTTGTTAAACTTACGGTCTTATAATAACATAGTCACAAATCCTGTATAATCTCATGAATGGTCTTAATCTCTTCAAGCTCATATGGATTACTATGACTTATCCTAATATTAAAGTACGGGATGTAACACCCTCATGGCCTCAATTATACCAGAAGTGTATCGTATGTAAATTTTTTTCAATGTGAAATCTATTTTTTAAGGGTAAAACAAGCGAATAATATTTTTCTATGAGGTTTATGCTATAGATTATCTATCTATCTATATTATTATAAAAGCATGAATATAATGTCGGTTTATAAAAATAACCTTATAATATTAAGTATAATAACTCATAATAAAATGGCATAACCGGAATTCTAAATATTAGCCTTATAATCCTATTAGTTTGAGGACATAATACTACACGTTTGTAGTCCTACATGATTATCTTTAGGAATCATATTAGTATAATTACTTTCGGCTGTCTAATTCATATAAAATTGAACAAGTAAATATCTTTAGTCATGTAATCCTATTACTTTTAGGATGTACTCCTTAAAAATTCATATTCTAATTTAATTCGAAAATGTATTATAATGTCATATTACAAATTTAATTTGTATTATATTGTCCAAATTCATTTAGAAAAATGAGAGCCTATATTATTATAAAATTATAGTATAAAATTAATATACCAAAATAGCCCTAAAATATATTAAACAGAAGAACTCATAGGTAAAGGGCAATAACTTATTTTTTGGACTACAATACATTTTATGCTAATTTTTAATATTTAATATTTCAAAATTAATAAAATTGTCTATTAAATTCTTATTAAAAATATGTAAAAAAGTTTAATAAAATCAATCTTATCAGAATCCTTTGTATTGGCAATACATTACCACTCCATAATGTCCAATACCAAAAAAATTAAAAGTAATATTAAATGAACTGCATAAAGAGTTAAAATTGAGAAAAAAATATTCCCACAATAATATATTTTTATATTATATTTATACTATTTTCCTACTCAAATAATATCTTTTTATCAATTTTTTGCGTAATATTAAAAAAAAACTCAATTATTAAACAACAACTAAGAAAATATTTAAGAATATAAATGTGTGAGAAAGAGAAAAAAATGGTTGGTAAGAGTTAATACCACTAATAATTCTACAGATATAAGGATCTAAAAGTGAAATGTCATATCAATCTTTTACTGAAAATAAAATTTATGGTGGATAACATTATAATTAATATTAAATATTTAAAACAAGAGATGAACTAATATTAAGATCTGAATCAACATAAAGTAAATTATTTTTATGTTAAAATCAAATAATTAAATATTTTAATTAATTATTTAGCAAGAGAATCCAATTCAATTATTTTTTTAATTCATTATATGAGTACTTCTTATTGAAGTTTTTAAAAAAAGACTTAGGGCACATAAACTTATTCTATAAAAAAGAGCGTTAGAATAAAAGTAAAAAGATTAATATATTATTAAGAATCAAAATGCTATACAAGTGTCTGAAGAAGCACAATCAGAACTAAATCCAAAACAAGAACAAGCTTTCAAGACTATATTATAAAGAGTTGACTCTTCTATAACAGAATTATTCTTTGTAGATGCCTCCGACGGAATCGAAGTAATATTTCTATGTCATGCATTACTTGCAAATATCATATGACATGATACTGTTAGCAATAATAGCAAGTGGTGTACCCAACAATGATTTTATTGTGAGGCCACCCACTTTAAATTTCATATACCTCTTCAAACAATTTAAATAAACATCACAAATATATCAAAGCCAAGCAATGATGCTAAATTTATAAGGAAAAAATTGAATGAAGCACTTATGGCTAAGTGTCAAACGGAGTTCTAGAGATATTGGACATTAATGAACCGTTTGGTAGAATATTAATGGTTTGGGAGGTAATTTCTGTTAAGTACTACCAGTAGTAATTCCAATTAATCGACAAAAGCAAAGACTGTAAATGCTAGCTTGACAAAGTTATACTTCTAGCCTCAAATGAAAAAGATTAAACTGACAAGAAATATAAAGTAAGAACAGATCCAGTATTCAGTGTCTGCTTGCTTCGTATCAGAAACAAATAAGAGCATCCAATAAAAGATGATTTGGTTTTTCCTGAACACTTGGTTATCCATCCCAATGGTAATGGTAGTGCAATTAATAAGAGAAATATTTCTATCATTATATTAAACCGCAATTTGTGCAAATCGCATAATAGAATTAAAAAGATATCCTAACTACCAGAAATGAATATGTTGATCAACTAAATAAAAGGTTGATTGCAAAATTTTATAGTAAAAATAAAATATTTTTTAGTTTTTGACTCAGCAGAAAATGCTACCAATAATTACTACCAAGAAGAATACTTGAATGGCCTTCTACCGTACATGTTTGTTGTCAAGTTTATTATTTCTTACATATGTTAGTGTCACCTTATATAATAGACTAAGTTAAAATTGATATTCTATTGTATAGGTTAATTTTGAAAATAAATATGTCCCTCATGCTACTGAAAAACTTAGATATGCCAAATAGTTTTTGTAATAACACACATATGGTATATAGAAGTTTTGACAATAACGCTATACATGCAAAAATTATGATACTTGTCAATGTGCTTCTAAGTATATTATTATCCCTGAATTCAACTTTTGTCTTCCGAAACTAAGGAATATCCTTTTAAATTTGTGTGAAAATAATTTTTAGTATGTTTATATTTTGCAAATAAAACAAATAAAGCACAAGGACACATATCCTAAAATTGAACTATTTTTACCGCAATACATTTTCTTGCACAAACAATTGTATGTTGCACTTTCAAGAGGGATATCAAGATCGACAACAAGAGTTTTGGTTAAGACAGAGCAACCAAAGCATTAGGAAGAAACAAACACAAAAAAGTATTGTCCACAAAGAAGTGTTCGTTAAGATACCATTACATTAAATACTTTTAAACTATAATACGTAATTATCTAACTAACATGACAAGATTGATCATTTGTGTAAGTTTTGAAGATGTCCTTTTATTTTAAATTCATGTATTATGCTAATGTAGTAATATTTTTCGGAATTTGAATGATTGTTGTATTATTATACATAAAATTTCTCGCGTTAATTAAATTTTATTGTTCCTTCATATAAATAAATATTTAAATCATCACGTGCCATTATTAACGTGCAACGCACGTTCATAGATACTAGCTTTATATTAATAGTGGGAAGCCTTTAAGTTAAAAGTTAAATTACTAAAATGCCCACTAAAAATTAAAGACTTTTTAATAAATATATTGAAATAAAAAAGATTATTAATTTGAACTTTGAAGAGTCCTTTCCTGAAAATGTTGCCTTTACAGTTGAAACAAACGTTTCCTTTTAAAATTGGTGTCCATTCATCAGCAACCTAATTATAAGAAGATGCTCTAAAGGTTCTGAGCAGCCAACGCATCAGAATAGACGAAGAGAGAAATCAAAGCATTCTTCTTTCTGCCAACTTCTCAAAAGTTCACTACGAACGGATACATTTTGGGTGCTCTTTAGATTTTCTTTTTCTTTTTCAAGATTACCTTCTCCAATAAAATATGTGAATTTATATAATTCAATATTATAACTTTTGAGAGACTTCCAAGATCAATCTTGAGGTCTATTCAACTGGACAAATTGAAGATAGTATCCCTCATGATTAGAATTTAAGCAGCAGTAATTTGTTCCGATTGTCCGTGATTAGAACACTGTAACGTAATGAAACCTTACCTATAAATGTGGAATCCATCAAAATTCATAGTGCGTGCTGTAAGATTTACGTCAATGGTCATAATAATGTTAAGCACGCAGGAAACTTAGAGTCCGACTCTTAAAATGAGCCACATCCATAATCAAAGATGATTTTGTAAGATTACTTTATGCAGAACTCCATGTCCATAGACCATGATATATTCGTTTTCAATACCTCTTGAATTAAAGAGCTTAACGTTGACTTTGAATACTGCTATTTCTACTGCTTGAATTTGCTTATATACAATACCCTTTCTTTTCTATCCTCCGAAGCGTTAATTTACTTTAGATTTTATTTTCCTCATGCCATTTACTCTTGATATATTATAATCCTACAACAATACCGGATAATGCTTACACATGATGTTGATGTGTTCAAGAGTAATCAAATTTTCATTTATTTTCGTCCCGATTCTAGAAAATGAACATGTTTTATATTTATGAATTAATATATGATGTAGATTCTTATAATTTTGTTTTCAATATGATAGAATCACTTTTGTATTTTATTCGTATATTAATTATTGTACCTTTAGTCTTAGTTTTTTTCTAATTTAAAGTCCAATTGGCCTATTCCATACTTGGCTAAAATAAAAAGTTCAAGAATAAAACAATTCCTTAAGACCTTAACTATCGACTCATTTCTTCTTTGTTATTGACATTTGACTCTTTCTTTTTTATCTCTAATATATAATATGTTTAAGCTTCTTTATGTGAAACATGAATACAAGATAACTCTAATAAAGTGTCAAAAAAGCTTAATGAGAAAATATTTTGTATCATAAATAGCTCAAGCATATGCATGCATGTCAGCTGAAAGATGTTGCCATATGAATTATAACACTGCTAATATTTGCTTCTTGCTCTTGCGCCCATATATTTATATTGTTGGCAAGTGCTTGTAATTAATTTTGACAGTCGGGCCAAACGAGAATGTATGTCATTTAACATAACATAAACGTTCCGAGAGACTAGTATATATGATGAATATAGATATATAAATATTTCCTTTTCATAGAAGAAATAAAAATACAGTCTTATCTAATTGTCGCAGGTTAGGACTTTTGGACCGCGGGTTGGGCCCATTACTCGTACCGGAATCAAAGCCCCAAAGCCCATGATCATACTACTCTAGGGTTTCCTTTATATACCACCAGCCCTCCATTCCCTTCATTTAGTGCCGTATCCTCTTCATATCGACAGCTTCGCTCTGGTTAGGAAGTAAAGAGTAGTCCCTTAAGTCGTAGCTGATTCACCATGAGAGCCAAGGTGTGTGGACATATACATCTCTTCTTCTGTTTTTGTTTGTCCGTTTGTTTTCATTTCTCAGATTTATACAGATGAATCTAGAATTTTGAGTCAATCGACGCAGAATAATACTGCAACTACTTACTGATTTATGACAGTGTGTGCGTTTTTTTTTTTGTGTGTGTGCGTGCGTGCGTGTGTGTACATTTCTAGTTAGTGTTCATTAATGTTTTAATACTCACTTTATGAACGGGTGCGTTTTTTTGATTTTCAGTGGAAGAAGAAGCGTATGAGGAGGTTGAAGAGGAAGCGCCGAAAGATGAGGCAGAGATCTAAGTAAAGGCCTATTCCGCACGACTCAGCATTCTTAGCTTTTGGCGTATCTTCTTTGCCTTAGGTTATTGCGTCTTTTTGTTTCCTTTTTCAGAACATTGCAGTTAATTTCTCCTAGTGTTTTTGTGCTAATGGCACCTAATGTACTTCTGCTTTTGAGGTATATTGAAACTCTTATAGCCATTTTCGCTTATAATTTTATGATATTTACTCCTTAATTTAGTAAACTTCACCAGATTTATTTTATTTTGTTCTTCTTAATCCTTTTTATTTTCACGGCATCAAGTGGTTTCCGTTTGGCCTGCCAATTTTGTGTTATGAATATGTGGCAATTTCCACAATAGTTTGAATTACGACGGTTGGATAACTAAATTCAAGCTTTTTGCTGCATCTCTAGTTTAGGTTGTCGGCGTTCATGTAATATTTTGAAAATTGGCTCAAATTTCTATATACAAGTTGTGGATACTAAATTATAAAATTGAGGTAGATAATGATATCTATTTAGCTTTTATCTTGCGTTCATTATTTAAGTAAAGAGAACCTATATCTAATTGAATTCGAAAGTAGATGGATTCTTGGTTTTATATTGAAGCTATGCATGAGAGATTGTCAAAGCAAAAAATAGTTCAGTTCTTGTGCCATCTGGTGGACAATGAGCAGCACGTTATGGTCAACATGTTAATATGTTTGTGGATAAAAGGAGATTTGCTTTGTATTACAAAATTTGGATAAAATCCTACTTTTTCCTCCAGTCCATTTTTTCAGCAACGAAAAGTTTATTTCTTCTGGGACATGATCTGGGAGTTTTGTAGGTGTCTCGACTGGTTCTGACTTGATCTATTTTATGCATTGCTTACAACTTGTTTGGATGTTTGTTACCCCTTGTATCGTATTGTATTGTTATCGCAAAGCAATGTTTGTTTTGATTGTTTCTTTAAAATTAATTGTATTGTATTGTTAAATCTATTGTTCCGGAAAAATAAAAAGTCCTATTTTTTAACAGCGTGTTTGGATTGTTGTTCCCCATTGTATTATATTGTATTGTTATCCTAAAACAATGTTTGTTTTGATTGTTTCATTAAAATTGGTTGTATTGTATTGTATTGTTAACTTCATTGTTTCGGAACAATGAAAAATCCCCTTTTTTGAAACAATCGATTTGTTATGGTTGAATCGTTTTTTATTTTTCTTTCCAATTACGCCCTAACTTATTAATCCACAATTCTATTTTACCCTTTACTTTTTTTTTCTATTTTAACTCCACATCTCCAACCTATAACCTACTTTGATTTTTTCCAGTACTTTTGCAGCCAACGTTAAAGGTGTTTTGCTGCCTTCTGTTTTATTTTTTCTCATAATTTGTTTTTAACTCAATTTTAATTAATTGTGCTCCTCTGTGTTGTCTTCTTCTGTCTCGCTCCTTTGTTCCTTCTTCTATTTTATTTTTTAATAATTATTTTTATGCTTAATTTTTGATAAATTTAATATTTAAATAATTGAGGGTATTTTAGTAAACTTATTAGTTACAGTACGATACCAAACCAAAATAGCAAAATATTATTTAACAATAGCAAACAATATAATCTATCCAAACATTGTATTCATAAAATGATACGATACAATATAAAACGACGGGGAACAATGATCCAAACAGAGTGTTAGTCAATTCCAAGACCTAATATCATGCCTTAATTCATCTCATAGTTTAAACAGTTGAACATTTTTGTAAGCAAATGCCACACTCTTAAGCCCTTTATGTCTAGTGGTTGGTTTTGTGTCTGCATTGCGTCAAACACATAATTTAGGCTTCAAAATCTTATATGCTGAAGAGTAAATATTACATGCTTTCTAATTCACATATATACTGGTCTGTTATTTAGACTACAAGGCTAATGTGGTTGAATGCTATAACAGAGAGAAATAGAGAGATTCGACTTTCACAGATAATTTGCCGACTGTGTAGTTTCACCGCAAGCTATTTACTAACTGTTTGAAATGTCAAATCTTAAATTTAATGTAACTATGAAAAGCCTCGTTTTTTAACTTCGTCAGGTCCAATTTTCAGAGCTTCCATCCGATGTTCAGGGTCTTGTTATTGTTTGTTAGCTAGAGTACATCTTTTAGCATGACCAGGAACACTGAGTAGAATGTTTAATCAACCGAGTGAAACTATAGCAAATAGAGCCATGTAATAATTCCAAAAATCCATTTTATTAAATGGTAAACAGCTTTCTAATTGCTCGAAACTTGAAAGAAATCTAATACTCTCGAGGCATGAAGAAAGAGCTAGCTTGGGTGCGTGCAAGTTGGCCTCAACAACGCCGTTATCATTCTAGATAAGATAAAACCAGACTCTTGACTCATTGAGGGTTTGGTGGACGGCCATTGGCAGAACACACCCTGGAACCCCATTCGAGCAGCTCTTTGCTAGTATCATCCTTGTGAACAATAACTTCAATGAAGCATAAACAATCCTTCTTCTCCCCAGTTGCAGTTGCAATTGCTTCTGTGAGCTCCTCTTCAGTCCTTACCTGCAATCCAGTCAGAAACAATTTGAAAACAATGGCTTATTTATCAATGTATGGATGAGTATTTCTATACAGTAACACTCACCTTCATGGTCCAGCAATTGCCTTCACCATTGTGAATAGCATCCACTAAGCCAGTGTAGTTCCAGTTCTTGATCACATTGTATGGCCCGTCATGGATTTCAACCTCAATGGTGTAACCACCATTATTAATCAAGAAAATTATGCTCTTCTGCTCACAACGGATCATTGTTGACACGTCTTGTGCAGTAACCTGTGATCCAAATACCATTTAGTTCTACACACGAGTAATATTGTTGTACTAACATATTGGGTGTTTTTGGTGTCATTTTCCAGGAAAGTGTTTGCCGTTTAGTACCTGAAAACTTCCATCACCGATGCAAGATATGACACGTTTTTTAGGTACAGATTGCGCATAGCCCAAGGTAGCACCAACAGACCAACCAATGGAGCCATATTGCATCTGGAATTCATACCTGCAACACGAACTTTTTTCTTCTAATGTCTGTAAATAAAATGGATACCAGGCTGATAAGCTGTTATTAGTCACATACCCACATCCTTCTGGTAACTTAAGCTTCTGGCAATTGAACCAAGAATCCCCTGTCTCAGCAATCACTGCTGTTTCATCTGAAAGCATCTTCTGTATATGCTGGAACAGAACATTTACTCTTAGTGGTTCATTAGGCTCCGATTTTAGAGGTGTTCCTTCAGGCACAAATATCCGACGATAGTTTTCATAAGCAGTTTCATTTTTCTTTATTTTCTTTGATAGTTCAGACAGGAAATCTTTCATTAGGACACAACCAAAAGCTGGTCCATTGCCAATTACAACTCTATCAGGCTGCACGATGATCGATTTCTCTTTCTTGATCAGAAGTGAATATCCAACAGAGCTGTAGTCGTTAAAGATTGGACCAGCAAACAAGTAAGCATCAGCTGATTCAACAATTTCTGCGCAATAGGATGTGCCTACTGCACCCCAGTAAGTGCCAATGAAGTGAGGGTGTTGTTCCGCGACTAGCCCTTTTGCTGATGGCATCACTGCCATTGCATAACCAGAAGAATCAGCCAATTCAACAAAAGCATTACAAGCTTTGGCTACTCTTAGCTTTGGCCCTCCAATCATAACTGGTTTCACTGCCTTGCTTAGAAAGGTAACTGCTGCATCCACTGCAGCTTCCAATCCCCTCTTGTTACTTAACCTGTATCAGTAATTTAGGATTGTAAGTTACAGAACATTTTCTCATGCAACAGTAGCATATCCTTGACTTATCAGTGGGTTCTGCTCTTTATATTTTTTTTACACTCATATATACTCGCTGCGTCTAGTCTAGATCTGACACTGTTGAGTTCTGATTATGAGTTGAAGAATAGATCTCATGCAGCAGTGGCGAATCTAGGATTCAGAGTCAGCTGAGATCTGCTCGTTAATTTTTATCACACGCACATATAAAGTCCGAGCTAAACACAATGAGTTATGTCGAACCTGTTGCTTCTAGTCTAGACCCGACACTATCAAAAATAGATAATAAGGTAATGGTCATACCTAGGTGAAAGAGAAAATGGGATGGGATCCCTGCTGAAAGTTGGATGAGGAATGGCTGGCAAATTGCAACTTATACTGATGTATACTGGTTTGCTTTCTTTTAGAGCAGTGGAAATGGCTCTATCAATTTGTTCATGTGCATCATCCAAGTTGTTTACAACGGCCTAACACAAAAGCAAACAACAAAACATAAAAATATATTGTTGGATATGTAAGGTATTGTATTTCTATTGGAAAAGAATTATTCAAGTCTCATATAAAAGTCTTTAAGAAAGAACTAGATGAGTCTCACCCATGGCTAGATTTCTCCCATTATATATTTACTGGTTGTCATTAGCTTATGTATAAACATTCAATTCTACCTTTCATTACAAATTTCCAACATTGCAAGAGAATATATATTTTAACCTATTTGCCTCATTTACCAAGTTAATAGTCTCACTTATTAGGGACAATTATCTTTTAGGTGATCGTAAGAGTACTTTTACACTATCCGTATATAGAAGTTAAACTCAAACGGAAGCTAAGTATGAATTTTGTAAGATTTAGGCACGGGGTTCAAAAGCTAGATCTGATACCTGATAACATGTAACAGTCTGAAAACATCTTAATTCTTGGCTGAAATCAGGCAATCCAATAGTATGATGCAGTATTCTATTAGTTCCATAATCATTAGTATTAGGACCTCCCACAATGCAAATAACAGGTAGGTTTTCACTATAAGCACCAGCTATTGCATTAAGCACACTGAGCCCACCAACAGTAAACGTGACAACACATGCACCAACTCCGCGAGCTCGTGCATAGCCATCAGCAGCATATCCAGCATTGAGTTCATTGCAACAGCCAATATTCTTAAGCCTTGGTTCAGCAATGAGGTGATCAAGAAGTGTGAGATTGAAATCACCAGGCACTGAGAAAACATCTTGAATGCCAATTTCAACTAGCCTACGTGCCAAATGGCGCCCGAGAGTGGCATCAGCGTTCCCGATAACAGAAGAAGATTGAGAATCTTGGATACAGGATGTGCCTTTGGCTACTGAGCCGTCCATGTTATGAATTTTTTATGTAAAAGGAAAGGTTAAAATGGTAGTGAGAGAAGTAATGCAGAGGAAAATGGTGATGGCTAATGGTTAAGATGAGGAATATATATGTAAGAACAAAATTAAAGTCAGTTTGTTTAGATTCGAAAAGGTAGGAAACATTGATTGAAGAACAAGGTAGTGGTTTCTCGTATTGTTTTCTTGGAGAGGTGGTCAATTTTTTTCTTTTCTTTTACTGCTTCAAATATCAGGGAACCCAACACAGGGCGAATGTCTTGGCTCAATGATCGGAGTTACGGTCTAATTGTTGTACCATTTTAATTTATATCATTTAGGTGTAATATTTCAGCGGGTCATGTATATCTATATTATATTATAAGCACGAATGCCCTTAGCGAAATGTCGTTCATCTTTTTTATCCTTCAAAATTTATTTTCACACTAGATAAAATAATAAGTTAAGTAAGTTTTCTAGTATTTAGGAGTATACATAATACATTTAATTATTTACCTAGATTTTTAGGACTTCCTCCCTTTCCTTTTAAGTATATAGGAGTCTTTTTTCCCTTATAATAAATGAAACCTACTAAACTTAAATAATTGCATGAACTATAAAACATATCCATGAGTTTCGGATTAACGCCGCAATGGTTCCTAAGTTGCATGTTCACGTTTTGGCACAACAGGTTAGTACTATATATCTCATCAAAGAATAATTGATAGCAGATTTTTTCTGAAGGTTGATTAATTAAGAATTTTAGACAATAATTTTTCTTTAATCATGGTTAATATTTTTTAAACATTACTTTCTTCTTTTATTTTGGTGTTTAATCTGCATAAGTTTCATAGTCATACCAATCCACACGTTGACCATAATTCTCTCTATATGAAGGATCATGTTCTACTGATAATTTTATTTTCTTTATTACAAGAATTCGTTCTCGAAAATAAATTCCATGTTTCTGTTTCAATCAAGAACAAACAATGAGATTTGGTATGCCTTCTTGCTTTTGTTATATTATTTATTATTTATCCTTCTTCACACTCTAATATTATTGCATTGACTAATAATAGGCTTTCTCAATCATTGTTGCACGAGAATGTAAACAGTCTTTTTAGAAATATTTTAATTCGTTTTATCGGTTACATAAATTTTCTTTCAGAAATAATTTTGCGTATCTTAGTGGAGAACAATTAAGCCAACGTCTGCGGTTGTAACGACCCGACTGGTCGTTTTGCTTTCTAGAACCCCGTTCCCCTAAATAAGACTTTTCGTACTTGCTTTTACTGATTTATGATTTGCGGGGATGGTTGGTTCGGGATTTGGAAGAGTTTGGGTTGAAATCAGAACACTTGGTTCCTTAAGGTTGGCTTAAAAGGCCAAGTTTGACTTCGATCAACATTTTGAGTAAACGACCTCAAAATCAAGATTTGAAGGTTCCAACAGGTTCGTATGATGATTTCGGACTTGGGCGTATGTCCGGATCGGGCTTTGGATGACCCGGAGCGTTTTGGCACCTAATAGTGAAAGTTGATTCCTTAAAGATTTTTGAAGTTCTTTAAATTTGGTTTGGAGCGGGTTTTTGCGATATCGAGGTCCGAACGGGATTTCGAGACTGCAAATAGTTCCGTAATGTCATTTAAGACTTGCACGCAAAATTTGGTATCAATCCGAGTAGTATAAGTGTATTTCGTCACATTGGAAGTAAATTGAAGAACTTAAAGTTCATAAGTTTGAGTCAATTGGTTTTAGGGTGTGATTCCTGGTTTTAATGTTGTTTCCGGCGTTTCGAGGGTTCGATCCGTTTTATCATTTCAAACTTGTCGGTATGTTCGGGCAAGGCTCCGGGGGCCCCGAGCGTCAATCGGACGAGGCTCGAGCTAAGTTGAAAATGTGAGAAGGAGCTGAAGCTCCAGGTTTCTGTCATAACCGCACCTGTGGTTGGCCAGCCGCAGGTGCGAGCCCGCAGAAGCGTGTAAGCCATCGCAGATGCGGCCATGGGTGGCTATCCCAGAAACCGCAGAAGCGGCCTCCTTTCCGCAGAAGCGGAACCGCAGAAGCAGTTGGCGTTTCGTAGAAGCGGCCCAGTGGAGTTCCGCAGAAGCGGACACATTTCCGCAGATGCGGTGGGCGCAGGTGCGGCCCAAGACCGCAGATGCGGAAATTACTGAAGGCAGTGACCTTCATTTATTGCGAGAGTTAGCCATTTTTGGCTCATTTTCACTCATTGGTTTGGCGATTTTAGAGCTCTTGAGAGGGGTTTTTCACCAAGCTTTTGGAGGTAAGTAATTTCTACTATATGTGAGTTAAATACTTGGATTTTGGGTAGATTAACATATAAAGATTAGTAAAAATCATGGGATTAGAGTAAAAACCTAGGGTTTTGATAAAAATAAGATTTATCCACGAAATTTGTTATGGAATGAAGTAAAAATCATATATTCTTTATCCTTAGGTTATGGGTAACAACTTTCTTCGAAAATTTCCGAAATCCGGGTACGTGAGCCCCGGGATGAATTTTAGGAACCTTGCATTTAGGGTTGGAAAATTAGTTTAATAGTTAGAATATGAACTCTTGAGCATATATTGACTAGTTCTCACCCTATTTGAATAGTTCTGGATCATTCGGCTCCGATTTGAGGGTTTGAGCGCATTTTTGAAATTTAAAGTGAGATTTGAGACAAGGTAAGTCTCCTTTTTAACCTTGTAAGAGGGAATTAACTCCATAGGTGAATTAAATAAATGTATGTGACTATCTGTGGAGGCTACGCATGTACGTGGTGACGAGAGTCCATACGTAGCTACTATTATGCTAATTGTCCGGGTAGTTTAGAACCCGTATCATGCTATATTTGCAAATGCCTGCGTCCTTACTTGCTACTAATATCACTTAAGTCATGCTGGAAATTTGTAAACAAATATAGACGGCTAGACTCACTTACTTGAGAATTTGCATGAATTACTTGATTATAAATGGATAATGTGTGCTTCCTTGATAATGAATTGTTATTTGTGGATCGGGCCAAGCGCATCGGTAGTAAATAGATGCATCTATGATTCGCGTCATTCGACCCTCTGGCAGTGCACAATTTAATATTATCTTGGACCGGACCATACGACCTTGGCATAATGTGTGCATGTTATTTATTTGGAACTTTCTGTGATTTACACTGCTTAAATGCTTGAAATGTAAGCTGTTACATGATGTGATTGAAACTTGACATGTTGTTTGTGAAAGAATGTCTTACTTCTCCATGATCTTAATCTGTCATTTTTGTTCATGCTATTCACGCTTAGCGTAACGCTGGAATTATATTATTATTGACCCTAGTAAGTGTCAAGTCGACCGCTCGTCACTACTTCTTCGAGGTTAGACTGGATACTTACTGGGTACATATTATTTATGTACTCATACTACGCTTTTGTATTTAAATATACAGGATCTGAGGCAGGTGCATCTGGTTATCCATCCAGCGCGCATCCCTGATACTTGATCGAGATCTCACTGTGAGCTGCCCTCTTCCGAGCCGTTCAGCAGCATACTGGAGTCTCTCCTTTTGTTATTACTGTCTACTCTGTTTCAGGCAGTAGGATAGTTATACTCTTTTGTACATTCTACTAGTTGCTCTCGTACTTGTGACACTAGTTCCTGGCACACACATTTGTAGACTATCACTTTTGGGTTGTATTTCTATTATTATGACTTCCTTTAGTCTTTTCCGATTCGTTTGCCTTATAAATCTGTTAATGTTCGACTGTTTTAAATTTAAGTAAATGTGGGAATTTGTTTAGTAAAATGAATAAGAACACTAGTCGATTAGGGTTGCCTTGCTTAACAATGGTGTTGAGCGCCAGCACGACCTATAATGGAATTTGGGTCGTGCAACAGTGTTATTCATTGTTATTTGAAAGATAATTTTATAAAAGTTTATAATCTTCTACATTTTGAGTCTTAGAGTTATACACCTCAAGTGTGTGTGTAACGGATCTACTGGGAATAACCAAATAATTCTCGTCAATCATTGCCTAATTACCAATGGTTGTAGTAGACAAACTGATGTTGCTGTTCTTCTTCTTTTTAAAATTTGTTTTTATTAAATTAAAACTCACAAACTTCGCCCTCATAATTATTGTAATAACAAAGATGTTTGGCAAAAGAATATAGATAGGAGGGAGGGAGAGAGTTTTAACATTCAATCTGAGTTCACGTACGAGAGATAAAGAATCAAGACGAAGTGGTTTTCACCGTTGATGTAGCTTTGCAAGAATCTAACTTTTCATGCCTGAAGTTAGAAACTTAGAGGGTGTTTGGCTAAGCTTATAAGCTGGTCAAACTAGCTTATAAGCATTTTTCGGCTTATCTACACGTTTGGTAAAGTTAAAAGTGCTTATAAGCCAAGTGCTTATAAGTCAAAAATAAGCCAAAAGCCATAAGCTGGTCATCCCCAGCTTATGAATTTTTAGCTTATAAGCACTTTAAGTTTGACCAAAATTTTTACTATTTTATCCTTAAAGTATTCCATTTTAGAACAAAACTCCTACATCGATACTCACTGTCTCAAATAACTTGTCCTATTTAGGTTTATTTTTTACTGAAAAACTTTTGTTAATTTATTAATTATTATACCTTATGATTATATGCTTATCATAAAATAAATTATATTTATCATAAAAATTATCTTATCTAAGCACAATTATATTTAAAATAAAATGACAAATAGAATTTTTTTTGTATTTGAATCGATGAGGAATCTAAAATTTTAAAGAAATTACGCCCTTATAAGTGTAAACAATTCTAAGGTTATTTAAGTCATTTTAATTGAAAAAGAGCTTATCAGCACTTTTTATCAAATACTGTAGCAACTTATTAGTAATTTCAGCACTTGTACTGAAACACGTAACTGCTTATTTGTTAAATCAGTTTCAGCACTTAAAGTGCTTTTCAGCACCTAATGCGTATCAGCTACTTCAAATCAGCTAATTCAAACGGGCTCTTAAATACTTTAATTTGCAGCCATAAATTTTTGCTTTTGCGTTGTGCCTTGGATATGGAATCTACTATATATTATATATTATAATCTACGATGGCTCTCAACGAAATGTCATTTGTCTTTTTTACCCTTTAAAAATAAAGTTCACACTAGACACAACTATAATTAAAGTTATTTTCCTAATATTTAGGACTTTAAAGTCAACTAAAGTTTTGGCTATAAATCTTTTCTTATTTAAACTATCTACGAATTTTAAATATTTAAATAACTTAAAATCAACTAAAATCTTACTAAAATATTCTTTTCTTATTTAAATTATTTAAAATAAGTTTTGATTTATATATTAGGTACGAACTCCTTAACACTTTGTGGTAGGCATTTGAACAGCTATCCTTTCGCAAAATATTTAATACTCATGGTAAGTCAATTCATTCACAATTCCAAAAGCGGTAAATCTTTTTAAAAGATATTCTTATTGGAAATACATAAATAGCAACTACATAAAGCTCTAATTCATGGTCAAAGAAGGAAAACTGAATTTAAATTCAACCCATTATTTATCAAGATCTAATGATTTAAATTGATTTCCTTACCAAAATATGTTGGTGTAATTGTAATTTCTAACATTCGAGTGTGGTAAATTATATTTGATAGAATAGTTGGAGAAAAAAATACAATAAGTACATATTTGACTGCCCGTAGAACTACAATATGAAATCACCAGAACAAATTACCTATTGATTTCACGTTCAGAAATCTCTTTTTTTCCTCTTTTCCGGTTTAAAACTTTCAATTGTTTCTACACATGTATTGCTATGACAATATTTTGTCGGCTCGTAAGATTCTATGGTCAGTTATTAATTGTTGGATAGGCTTTTGAAAGTTACTTAGTTCTCTTTCGGATATGTTTTTACAAAAAAGTTTGATTTCTTCTCTTATATTTTTATATTTGATATTTATTTATCTGATGAATATATTTATTTATTCTTTACTTTCTTTTCATTTTTTCTTGAGCCGAGAGTCTACCGGAAACATGCTCTTTACTTTCTAGGTAGGAGTAAGGTCTGTGTACACACTACCCTCCGCAGACCCCACTTGTGGGATTATACTTAGTTGTTGTTATTTTAGATTATTTTTAATGTGCCATGTATTTTATAGTTCTTGTAAAATTTTTATTGGCATGATGATATAATCCTATTAATTTATTATTATCTAAGCTTTAGTTATTGATTTAAATTCCATGTTGCTTAGTATTTTTTATGTTTTTCTGTAACTTTATTCACGTATTTGATATTTATATATTATTTTCATGTCAGTTTTGGTTGGATAAACTTTTTTGAGATCAGAATAAACAGACAACTCAAAAGAAGGGAATAAAATGGGATTGAAATGGTGAGAATAACCCTAAATTTTTTGCCCCCTAGATTCATTTTTCTTATTCAAAAACTCAAATTATCTAGATTGTTTTTAAAAAAATTTGCCCCCTTGAAATTACAACAATTGAAAATGTAATACAAGCTAAGGTTAATATATATGGAAATTATCACAAATATATCAATGCTAAATTGATAAGAAAAAAAGAATACAAAATTGGAATGAAGCATCTCTAGTCAAACACATTGTCCTTGCATATATATTTACTTGACACGAGGCACACGTGCAACGCACGTACACTAAACTAGTTTGTATTAAAAGCAGTACTTTCCTTTTTACCTTACTCTTCCTATTTATTCACACCCCATCTATGGAGACTAGCTTAAATGGAACAATTAGAGCCTGTTTGGAAAGCCACCTTGGAAATGTATTTGGGTGTAATTGGGTGTAACTACACAGTTTGACATGTTTGTTTGGCCAAGTAATTACTTGGTCAACACGAAATTGGGTGTAATTGGAGGGGTGCAATTACACTCTCCAATTCTCAAGGGGGAGGTGAGAATTAATGGTAATTACAAGATTGCTTTTTAGTTTCTTTCCTTTTTGTTTTTATTTTAATTTATTTTCTTTATAACTTTTTATTTCTATTATTTTAATTTTTTAATTTTATTTTTACTTTTTAATTTCTTTTGAAATTTTAAAATATATTTTTCTTTGTACATTATTTATTTTTTATTTCTCTATTTTACTTCTTGCGATTCCATGTAATTGCTTATATTTTATTTTTTATTTATTTTATTATTCTATTTTTTGAAACACACCTCCTAATATTAGAAATAATGAGTCATTAACAAACTTGGCATATAATGAGTGATGCCATTAAACTGGAATTTCGTTGTTGAATGTGGTTATAAACTTATCTTGATTCCTAATATTAAGTTGTAGTAGAACTTATTATTATTATGTTAGAATTTGACATATGTTAATTTTTTTTTTGAATTTTGAAATTGGATTATATTCACGGTTCTAATTTACTTGTTTTTAGTAGTATTGGCTCACATGATGTTCTTAAAAACGTATATTTTTAGTTTTTGTAAGTATCTAAACTAAATATTATTAATTTGAAAAATATATAAAAATTATTTTTACAATGCTAGTTTTAAATATATGATTACTAATTAATGTATATTCACAAAAAAATATACATCTTAAATACCAAATATAATATCATTTATACTTGTAAAAATTTATAGGCATTATTTATTATATTAACTTTTAAGTTCTGATAGTTACTTAATTTAAAATTTAATCTAACTGTGTAATTACACTTGTGCAACCAAACAGTAAACTTGTAATTACACTGTAATTATATTATGAAAAACATACAGGTTATCGTAATTACACAACTGTGTAATTACTAGGCTGTGTAATTATTACCTTAATAATTACACCAATTTCAATTATCTGGTGACTTTCCAAACAAACCCATCTGTCTTTGCATTAGTGAAAATTATTATATTAGTGAAAATTAATATAGTTAACTCAGAACTTGCTTAGAATTGAGCGAAACTGTTGGTGTTGTTGCGGCAGCAAAGGTCTATTCCCCCTTCTTCCAAAGAGGAAAAAGGATGAAATTACCTTCCCATCTGTCTTTGCACGTTATGTAAGCTTTATATTGGTCTTATAAACATTAGTCTTAATTGATTTTTTTTTTGTGGTTCACGGTATTTGATTTTATCAGATATCAAGAAGGAGTTAACTTTTTTTTTTTTCCAAAGTTACCCCTGGAGTTAGGGGTGTTCATGGTTCGGTTTGAATCGGTTTTTCCCTAAAAAGAAACCAAACCAAATAAGTCGGTTTTTCAAATATTAGAACCAAACCAAACCAATTAAGTCGGTTTTTTCTCGATTCGGTTTATGTTGGATTTTGTCGGTTTTTTGGTTTTTTCGGTTATTTGTCGGTTTTTTCTTAAATATAGAACATACACTACCAAACACATATTTCGGCGATCACATTTTCAACGTAACACTATCAAATCAATCGCCCTTTGAGAAATCTATTGTTTACCAAGATATATTGATGATAATTGAATCAAACAGTGATAAATAATTTAAGGACTCAACTTAAAATATATTATTTTTAACACGAATTGGATTCTTACACTTAACAAAAGAAAACTACCAATCAAACTAGAATGTAAAGGTAAAGAACTATACTAAAAGTGCAAACTATTAACATTTACCATAAAAATTTTGAAACTTTGTATAAAAATATACATATATATATAGGTGTAATAATAAATTTGAAATAGCTACTCCTATAGTCGGTTTGGTTCGGTTTTTTTCGGTTTTTTTCTGATTAAAACCAAAACCAAACCAAATTTGATCGGTTTTTAAAATTCAAAACCAAAACCAAACCAAACCAAAAAGTACCGATTTTTTTGGTCGGTTCGGTTTGGTTCGGTTTTTTATGAACACCCCTACCTGGAGTAAAGAATCTGTGAATATTTATTATATTTTCATTGAACAAATTAAGGGTAATATGGTCAATTTAATTATTAATTAATGTTAAAATATGGATTCCTTAATATGTAAAAAAATAACTAAAGAATTAATTAAAGTGGGACGGAGGGGGTAAATAACTAGATAGATATCCCTCACCAATGTGTCTTTACTAGTAGAACTCGGGCCTATGGCTCATTTCATATTTGTAACTACTGATATTCATAAAACCTTCAATATTCTGATGACAAATTCACCAAAAAGCAAACCATATAGGACCATTTACTATATGCGACTCTTTAAGCATTTTATGTAACTAAAAGAATAGCAACCTACAAACCATAAGGTTATATATTCAGTAATAACTACATAAATCGAGCAACAATCTAAACGACCAAAGAGAGAAGCTCACAACTTGTTTGATCGCCGATTCTGCCCAAAATCTAAGGAACTCTATAAATCAATGTTCCAACAGACCCAAAACCAGTTGACCTCTTCAAATCATAGTTCTAACTTCAGAGAAGCATCTTGTGTACATATATTGTGACAAATCAAGTTAAGTGTCTTCCTTCACGAGACAACTGATGATGACCAAGAGAACCTGTCTTTTACCACACCAAAAAAGGCAATTTCATAAAAATAAAATAAATACATAAACATCAGATGCAGCAGCAAAACTAGCAGTAGCTTCGAATTTCCCCAATAAGGAATGAATTGGATTATATATCAAACCACAGCCTCGTAAAGAGGACTTGAATAAGCAAAGTACAGTTGGGCATATGAATAATAATGAATAACAGAGATGAGACATGAACCCCTTCCTATCAAATACCTCGGTTGTCCTATATATTCTGGTAGAAAAAAGTTGTCTACCTTTACAGGGATGGTTAGCAAGGTGATTAACAGGATCAAAGGATGGCATTTAAAGCTACTTTCTTCTGGAGGCAGGGCAATTCTTATCAGGCATGTTCTATTGGCCCTGAATGTCCATACATTGGCTGCAGTCCATCCAACCAAGGGTACTATCGCTACAATTGAGAGGTACTTGGCTAGAAGAGCCAAGGGTACTATCGCTACGATTGAGAGGTACTTAGCTAGATTCTTCTGGTCTGGGCAAGAGACTAGTGATGGATACCATTGGTCTGCATGCTCCAAACTTTGTTTTTCATATGAAGAGGGAGAGGCTAATTTTAGAAAGTTGGAGGATGTCTGCAAAGCCTTCACCAACAGAGTAATGGTGGAGGTTGAGAGCCACAAACTCCTTATGGTCCCAATTTGCCAAAGCCAAATATTGTAGAATCTATCATCCACTGATTAGTCAACGGACAACTGGCAAATCCTATAACTGGCAGGCTATGTGCAAATTGAAACATGAAGTAGAGCAGAACATCTTATGGAGAGTTGGGAGAGGTAATAGCAGCTTTTGGTATGATAATTGGACCAATTTTAGTCCTTTGTCTTCCAGCTTAGGCGAAGATGTCGGGTATGACGATACCAAGGTCAATGAAGTATATAAGAATGGAGTATGGGACTGGTCTTGCTTACATATTCAGCCTCCTGAAGCTGTTAAGACTTTGGTAGCCACCGTTCACATCACAATTGGCCAAGAAGAGGATGACACTCCAATCAGGACAATTACTACTTCAGGAAAATTCAGTTCGGCCTCTGCTTGGAATGCATTGAGACAAAGAAATCATCTTGCTTCTTTTGACTCTAAGTTATGGCATGAAGATGTCCCATTTAAGATGTCTTTCTTGGCTTGGAGAGATGTCCATGGAAAAATAGCAACAGATGAAAGGATCACGAGGTTTGAGATTTCCTTAGCCTCTAAATGTTGTTGGTGCCATTCTCCCGGAATGATCCCAGGCGAGGAAACGTGTGAACGCTTATTTTATCAAGGACATTTTGCACAACAAGTGTGGGCGTTTTTGCTGGAATGGTTGGAATAGCTCATATGAACATCCCCTTAAGAACTCTGTTTGCTAACTGTTGGAATCATAAGTCCAAAAACTCTGTCGCTGCATTTGTTTTCCAGATTATGCCTCCTATTGTTGTATGGGAGCTGTGGAGGTCAAGGTGCTGTAGCAAATATGAAATGGAGAGGCCATCAATGGCAAGATCCAAATGCCTTATCACTTTTAACATTGCCCAATTAGTTAACTCTCATTTTGGGAAGCTAGCTGTTAACAATAATTGGGAAGACATATGTAAACTCTTTGACTACTCTCTGGTTGAAAGGTGCATAACTGAGGTTAAGTGGCTTAAGCCACCTTTGCTCTTTGTTAAGTTAAACAGTGATGGTAGTTGTGTTAAGGGAATTGTAGAGGTGGCGGGGCGATTAGAGACAGTGGTGGTAAAACACTTGCAGCTAATGCTATACCAATGAGTCAAGGAACAAGTAACTTAGCAGAAGCAGAAGCCCTTCTTTTTGGCCTAAAATGGTGCGTTCAACAAGGATATGAACTGATTATTGGTAAAATTGACTCCTTGCTACTTCACAATTGCATTCAAGGCATATGGTCCACACTATGGAGAATCAACCGTGTTGTTATGGAGGTAAAAACGCTGGTTGAACAAAAAGGTCTAATCATTAGACAGTGCTTTAGAGAAGCAAATCAAGTTGCGGACAACATGGCTTCTCTAATTCACCCATTAGAGGAAGTATATATTTTCACTTATTTTGACACATTGCCTCGGCAGGTCAAAGGGCTTCTAAATGTAGATAGATGGCAAATTTCAGCATTCCGAGTCTAAGAAGAGAAGACCAAGTACCATAGTGTATGAACCACCATGAGTTCTCGACTTTATTACCGATTGGCATGTTGGTGTGGAGATAATCCCACCAATTCTGTACTTATTGTATGAATGTGTCAAATTCTCAATCCATATAGAAGGCCAGGCTATACCCTCCTCCTTCAAAATGAATCTTCTGCATTGCAAAGGTAATAAAATCGTGACTTGGAGTTAAAAATAAATAATAATAAAAAAATATCAAGACCTTTAGTACACCAACACAATACCTCTACCAGAGAACACGACCTGACCTTAACGTATCTCCAAGACATTGTAACACCTCAGAGATGGACAAACAAATACCCCCCCCCCCCTCTTCCCCCCCAAACAAACCGACCCCACCCAAAACCAACACCGAATTAACCACCCTTGCACTCGACCAGACAATATAACCAAATTTGGTTGGTAAATGTGGCGGTATTATGAACCTCACCAACTACATCTGGTGTACATGACATAACATCTCTCAGGCTGAAGCAGTCTCATCCTTTTTCTCTGCATTATCAGAAGGCTTCTCATCTTTGATGTCGTCTTCCTTCGTTTTCTCTTCAGCTTTTTCCACGCTCTTCTCTTCTGACTTCTCATCTTCAACACTCAACTTCTCAAGTAGGCCAGCAGCATTAGATGCATCCTCATTTTCCTCTTTCTTCTTTTGTGATTCAGCAACCTCTTGAAACGTCTCCATGAAGGTCTTGCAATCTATAAGAAACACATTACAGTAAGACATCATTTTTGCTGAAAATAAAAAAGAAAAAACAGAGGCAGGCAACATAAAAGAATTTGGCACATGTCATGTATACTATATTTTTGAGAAGGATGATCATGTATACTACTTATCTACAACTTCCTCAGAATCACTTCTACTAACCCCCCCCCCCCCCCCTCTCCATCCAGTGTTTGACAAACCTCCAATCATGGGCAATTTTCTAACCCTTTTAAAAGTAATTAACTCCAATATGTTGAATGGAACTGCAATGATGACCAAGTTGAGGGATCTAAAAGACCTGGTAAAATAAAAGGTTACCTCACACCCGGGTAGGTTCACTCCACACCTTATAATCCAGTATTCCTTTTTGACAATTTATAATGCACAAGTCCTCAAGTCCCTAAAGAGCAATCTCTCTCAAGTAGATAAGCATGTTGCAGTATTAACCATGATCTTTTAGCAAAACTCGATGAGGTCATTGGGATTCTAGAGAGAAGTCCCAGATCAGTTAACTCTCAACACCAACACATACCTCAAGCAAGACGATATGACGCAAAGGTTCTCAACAACCTCATTAAGCAACAAAGATCAATTGCTTTGGTCAGGTTCCAGTAGTTTAGAGAATCATAAATGATGGCTCTTTAATGAGTCCCCATACACAGACGTTTTTTCCTTCTAAGGCTGCATCCAATTTTGCAGTCTAATGTTTTAGATTCAAAATTAATGAAGGCCTTCAATGACATCGTTTCAGGAATTTGGGAATTTCGGGGCAATAGCAGAGGGCAGAAGCAAGGGGGTCTACTAATACATACAGTTATTACTTGTTCCCATCATTCCCCTCTTCCCTTATGCCAACCTAGCTTACACCTTAGGAACTTAAAATTTTAATATGTGGAGTAAAAGCAGGAGCACACAATTTGGGAAAAGAAGTCAATTCATACCATGACAAAATTCTAAGATAAAGTAATACTATAAAGAGAATAAAAACAACAGAACAATTGAGCACAAAACAAAGGCATAAGATAATATGTATAATGCCACTTCACAAAATAAGGCACAAAACCAGTTCAAGGTCTGGTTTGCTTTTTCTTCTTATATCAGCAAAGCTGTGGATCTACTGTTTAGGAGGGCATAATAAGGCATGGGAGTGACCGGACTGGTAATGTAACCCAAGTCACAAGAGAGACAAACTATCACGCACACAATGTCGAGCAGTAAAATTTGGGCATCCAAAATTTTGGGTCAGCACTTGAGTTTAGAATTGGAAAAGAATATAAGGTATTCATCAATCCCTAGTATCTGCATTCAACCTTCATACAACATTTTACTCTTCCAAGTTCTATTCAAGCTTGATCTTGGTTTTAAAAGGCAAGGACACAGGGTGATACTTTTAACCTATCATATGGTGAGGCAAAGTCCGTGACATCACACTTACAGTAAAGAAAAATATATCAGGCACAATCCATAGTAGATTGACAGACACTCTACTTCATGTGTAGATTATTTGATTCTACATCTTGACATTACAATTAACAAGGCATTATTATAGATGTATCCTTCTATACTTTTTTTGAGACGTTATCCTGACCCTGCGTGAAAGTGGAATGCTTCGCACACGAGCATGCCCCTTTTTTAAATTAAGAAGAGAATCCTCCTATACCTTTTTCACGAAGATGTGGAAACCTACTAAACTTGATTGATCTCAATACCATTAACTGCAACTATCACTTGATTTAAGTCTACAACCAGATTAGGCACACAGTACAACATTCCATATAGAAAATGAGATTTTCTCCAAACAAAATAACAATAGGGACCAGGGAAGCAGGGAAGCTAGTATAATGACTAGCAATCAAGAGATAAAGGCAATCATGAAGAAAAGAAATTTCAAATTTTGGCAAATTGAAAACTTCACCAAACAAACAAGACCCTAAAATCTAGCAGAAACTGACAGTAATTCAGAGTTCGAAATTCTTACTCTCGATGGACGCAAATCTAATACAGAAAAATTCATCCTTCAATTCACCATCAGCAAAATCTGCTGCATGCCACACACAGGATTTCTCACTTCCAGCATGTTCCTGAACCGTCATTGTCGGAATAACTGAAGCATATAATACAGCACAATTCATGAGATCAGAGTCTATGTTACAGATCTCAACCAAACGAAACACATAAATGAATAAATCGATATTAATAATGCACAAAAAAAAGTCATAAAGTGAATATTAATAGACAAACCTAGATGATTAACACAGATCTTAAGAGTCTTAGATTGGCGCATAACAAGGCGAACTTTTCCAGTCTCCTTATGTTTCAAAAACTTAACAGTACCAGCACCTCTCTCTTTCCACTGATTTCCATCTTTATCGAATCGATAAAGCTTAGCTTTCCTGTATAACGATAAATTTACATTATTATTAACCCTAGAAATTGGAGTAGATCGATGTAGGCAACAAACAATAAACACGATATGAGAGAAATTGAATAATTACAAATCGAGGATAGCATCTTCGTCCTCTTCGCCAGTTATTACGGCTACTTCCTCCAGTCTGACGATCGGCGCGACCTGAGCTCCGGTATCTTCGTCATCGGCTCCGGCAGCCGCTTCTTCCTCTTCTCTGTGCTCGTGCTGGGGCTCTATGCTTGCCATTGTTTTTGTACGGATGCTGTGTTTCTTCACAGAGAGGTTTTGTAAAGAGAGAGAGAAAGTGGGATATTAGGGAATAGGAAGAAAGGTTTATATAAGATTTGAATGCGCAGCGTGAACCCAACGCAGCAGACGCCAAAACAAAACTTGAGTCGGCAAGCCCATGATTTATTATTAGATGACTATCCAATTGGCGTAAAAAAAATCATTCACTTACACCTTTTACAAAATTGTTTATTAAAGAATTATATAATACAATTTTGTAAATTGAAGAATAGTTAGATCACATATAAACTCTTAAAAATAAGAATATTGGTCCTATTCATCAATAAAGTAGATAATGGCCTAGCAAAGCATGAAAATGACCTAGATAGTTTTGGAAGCTCAGTGGTCTATTATGCATCACTTTCTTTGGTTTTAATTTCGTATCAACATGTATTAGCAATGTATTCTACACAGGTCAGCTACAAAAAGAAAACGAATTAGCAATAAGCAAATTATGTAGTTAAACAATAAAAATTCGTCACAAATCCTATTTAGTGACAAATTAGCGACGATATTAACGATTGCTATTTTTTTCAACAATAATTACTATCTCAAAATATAATAGTAGATATTTTTTTGTAGCAACATTCATATTAAAGAATAGGAGAAAAAAACGGATTTAATAACAAAACTTTGAAAGAAATACTTATTATTTAAATTTTAAGAACAACAAATAGTTCATATCAATAAAATATAAAGAGGTAAATTGGTCTTGTGAATACAAGGACAAAAAAAAACAATACACAAGTCGCGGAGTTTCCTTGTTGGTGTAAGTATTTGATTTTTGTGAATTAAAGTACATATTAAATTTGGACATTTTTGTGAATTAAAGTACATATTAAATTTGGACATCCTCCTAGATATGATAAATTTTCATAAAACACTATCTTTTAGTGGTAATTAGCTATCTATAGATACTATTTGCTATATTACGCCCTGTAGATGCGTTTTACGTTTTTATAAGATGTATTTGATGTATTTAGACTACTGTATTCATGAATACAATAGGAAAAATATGCGTGAATCATGGAAGTCCAGCTAATCAGTTGTTGTATTTAACTGTATTCAAGAGTTGTATCATTGAATGCAGTAACATATATTCCTTAAAAAAGGGACCTTTCAACTGATTTAAAACGGAAAGGAAATCATTCTAGCAAATAGTCTCCTAATATAACTCAACTAACACAATTATATCACCCATAATCTGTATTTCTCCCTTCATTAAAGATTTTCCATCCAAAAGTATCAAAAAACAGAGCAAATCGTGGATTCTCAATTCCCCCTTCTTTCTTTTCAGTTCCTTTGTTACAGTTCGTACAAAACAAATTTCAACCAAGAAAACTCGAGATTGCTACAATTATATACAGAAATACGTTGAAATTCGATTTTGCATATGACTACATCAATGTACCCCTAAATCACATGAATTTTGTTCCATGGAGTTAATTTTTTCCGTTAAATTTAGTCATGGATTTAAATTTACTTATGTCTGTGCAGATTCCTAATGAAGTTGAATAATGAGACCGTCTCCATTGAGCTCAAGAATGGCATCGTTGTTCATGGAACTATTACAAGTATCTCTTTCTTTCCCTACCTCTCAGTCTCTCCATTGTGCGTTTTTTATTGATTATGTATTAATAATACATGTATTGTTGCGGAGCATTACGCTAGTACAGAAGAATTGAATGTAAAATTAAATTGTATGTATATGTATTTAGCTGTATTTGTGAAAGGTTACTTGACCTTCACTGTTGTTCTTTTTTTATTTTTTATGTATTAATAATACATGTATTCTTGTGGAATATAGTGGCTCTAACTGTTTTTTATTAAATGTATTTGTTGTATTAAAATGTATGCTTATAAGTATAGGTGTATTCAGACATGATTAAATGTATAACAGTGTATATATTTGTATTGTATACTACTCTCTCTATATATATAGATGCAATAAAATATTCAAATGTAGGTGGTGCCATCGACTGAATATTTGCATACAGTGAACGGTGAAGGAAGGCATTACACCGTATGCCTCTTAGAGAGAAAATGCAATTGTGGGCGGTTCCAAGTCGACGAATTACCGTGCCCACACGCTTGGGCTGTCCTGAAGAGCAAGTTTCTAATGCCAGAAGATTATTGCTCTGATTATTACAAACCAAAGTCTGTTGTAATGACATTGAGGTGCCCGTGTATCCTTTGCCGGACCGGAAAGAATGGAATATACCAGCACATATAGCAGATGAAGTTGTATTATCATCCAAATGGAAAAGACCTCCGGGAAGACCAAAGAAGAAGCATGATAAGCCGTTCATTAAATTGCTGCAGAAGAAAAATCAACATTCGTGTAGCATATGTGGGCAGGAAGGACATAATAAGCGTACTTGTAGAAATGTTCNAGAGGGCTGGGAACAACGCGTTCGCGGAAGACTTATCGCGAACGCGTAGAAGGGGGAAAGGCTGGGTCCAGGACTTGTACTATGCGAATGCGAGATGGGGTAACGCGAACGCGATGAAGAAGAGGTTGTTACTACGCGAACGCGAGGACTAGTCCGCGAACGCGATGAAGGAATTACTGGGGGGTCCTGAGTTGGCTTACACGATCACGTATGGGGTAACGCGAACGCGATGAAGGGAAGGCTAAGGCTATGCGAACGCGAGATGAAAGACGCGGTCGCGAAGAAGGAAAGCACTATGTAAAAATTGCAGGAAATCTGCTACTTTTTCTAAGTTCAAAAATACCCCGAACACCTCCGAAAACACTCCCGAGCCCTCGGGGCTCCCAACCAATCACACACACTAACTCAACAACATCCTACGAACTTACTCGAGCGATCAAATCGCCAAAACAACATCAAAATCAATGAATCAAACCTCAAAATCATCATTTTTCATTCTAACTTCACAAACTTCAAACTTTAGATATTTAGGTCCGAAACACGCCAAATGACGTCCGTTTTCGACCAAACTTTACGGAAAGCGCTTAACACATATTTAAGACTTGTACCAGGCATCGGAACCAAAATACGAGCCCGATACCATAGTCTTTTAATCAATTTTCATTTCCATTTTCCTTAATAATTTCAGAAAAACAATTAAACAGAAAAATTCTTTTCCCGGGCTCTAGACCTCGGAATTCGACTCCGGGCATATGTCCGAGTCCCATATTTTTCTACGGACCCTTCGGGACCGTCAAATCACGGGTCCGGGTCCGTTTACCAAAAATGTTGACCGAAGTCAACTTTAAATCATTTTAAAGCCACATTTTGAAATTTTCCACAAAGTTTAACATATAATCTTTTCGGCTACGCGCCCGGACTGCGCACGCAAATCGAGGCAAGTAAAAATGAGGTTTTCAAGGCCTCGGAAGCACGGAAAAAGAGAGAAATCCGGTGATGACCCTTTGGGTCGTCACAGAAGGTGCTTCGCTCTCGCTTATGGCATCAACGTCTATCTTCCGCATAGCATAGTCCCAAAGGACGGCACCATATCTTTGACGAAGTAAATTGGCATCAAATTTTGTTTGTGACACCAAACCAACGGTGCTCAGAAACTCGGCAATTGTCGCGACATGCACCCCACAATCCCTGAAAGAATACATTAAAACAGTTACAAACAAGAATTTAAAAAAGGTTTCATATTCATCATCAATACATAATTAAGTGTTATGAATACATATAAATACAACTAGATACAGTTAAATATTGAAATACATATTCATACCATTGAGTACAAAATAGTAAATATCTACATACAATATGCAAGGAAATCTGTAATAAGTACGGAAAAATAGTGAATGTAAATTTGAATACATCTAATTACATTTAAACACAACATATAATAACTAAGTAAGTACAACTCAGTGAATGACATTGTAAATATGCAAATGAGTTCTGGATGTTTAAATGCTTATGAATACAACTAAATACATACGAATACATCAACATACATATAAATCACATGAATAATTAAGACTACATTAATGTACCCCTAAATCAGTTGAACATCTTTGAAAGCATATTGATACAATAACAATTGCCTTTTCGTGCCGTGTATCCGAGCTTTTTTTTGCATCAACTTCCTTAAACTTGACACATGAAGAATCATTCATAGGTTTTTTCCTCTTTTTCGCAACTGGAACTTTTGTTTCTTTTAAGGATTTCTCAACTTGGACTTCTTTCGATTTGTCATTGTGTAATTTAGTTCTTCTCTCTGAAGCTGTAGTTGCCGATACACCTGCAAATTCCGACTCCGCTTGAGATATTTGCAACGAGAAAGAGGGCCCATCCAAATTGAGAATTTTTGTGGGTATACCTCTGGTTACCATCTTGTGTGACGACAAATCCAACATTGGAGAGAAAAATGATAGCTATCTGTTGAGTAAACAATAACAATGGTTATTGTTTAAGAAGCAAACAAAAATCTGTATCAAAATCAAAGAAGCTAAATACTTTTATCAAAATCTAAGAAGCTAAATACTTACCGTAAGAACTTGTAGCAGGAAATAAAACCACGATTTTAGAGAGAACCTAACTGGGGAGTGATAATGGGGGAGACCTAGCGAATTTGGGTGGGAGAAGAAGTCTGAAACGTAGTTTTGTGGGAGAAGAGAGTAAAGTGTATGAAGAGAGAGAGAGAGAGAGAGAGAGAGAGAGAGAGAGAGAGAGAACGTGAATTGTGAAATTTACCGTAATTATGTGAGAGAAAATCTGAAAAAGAAGAGAGAAAAATATTAATTAGCGTATATGGTGCCTTAAGTATAGGATGTAACCATAATTAAATATTTTGCTATAAAGGGTAAAAGGTAGCTATATAATATAATTTTTTAAAATGATATTTATTTAAAATAAATAGGGTATTAAGCTTTTCTATAGGGTGTAAAAATTCCATTCAAGAAATACCAGGTCCAAATTAAATTTAATTATCTAAGTCCATCATGGATTTAATTAAAATCTAATTTTATTTGGGCCAACCCATTTAGTTGGACCGTAAAAGATGAGCGCATTTTACTAACCCAAGGTCGAAAAGGCTGGTGTTAAAGCTTAGACTCATGCCA